AGGACGGGGGATTTATTCATTATCAACTGTTTTCTAATCTATTTGATAGCATCCCAGTAATTTCATTACGCTGAAGCTGAAACCCAACAAGTTATAAATAAAGTTGTAATAGGAACATGTTTTCCTTATTCCTCTTCTATTTAAGAAAGTGAGGGACTAGGTAGGGAGGGGAGGGAGGGGCTTGTTTAACCTTATGGTTATAGGCTAAGGGGGCGGGTGCTATTTTGGGATTTTAGGGGAGGGCGCTTATTCCAATAACTTCTCAGTTTCCTGTGCGACTGAGCGACTCTCAATCGAAAGGTGTCCAGCGTGTCCAGAATGAGATACAAGACGCTGTGTTTCTTGGTTTTAGTTTTCCTTAGCACAAGTGACGCTGTCAGCTTGGCTAACTTCACCGACTGTGCTCTTACGGAGTACATCTGTGATACGCGCAAGTGCACCACACAGTTCGTTAAAAACGTACAAAATCACCCTAAAGGAGATTGTGGGTAAGTTTTGTTTGCTTTCTGATAAAGTGCGAAAGCTTTAATTTCCTCGCAAACTCATCGGGCTCACTCGTTGTCAAAATAAGCTACAGTATGTTCCGAAGAGGCTCGATTTCTTGTGTTTTTTTTTTTTCGGGAGAAACTTAGAAGTGTAAGATATTTACTGGGTGTCGTTCTGGAGTGAATTTTTTTACCGCGAGTTGATAAAGCGATTTCCAGTCTTTCAGTATTTAACTGGAGTATGGAGGTGCTAGCTCATGTGGCAATTTCAGCCCAACAATTTTCTGATGGCGTTGAATTCCGCGGTCGCTTTCTTGTAAAAGACTTTTACTTCATGCCCTGATCTTCCGCGTGAATTTTTGGAATTTATTGACTATCATTTCTGTTTTCTATTTGCCTCTAACCCGGGAGAGAGTAGGTTTTATTGGTTTTTCTTGCTCCCGACGGGCAGAATACAACCTTCGGATGATGTTTTTGTCGAGAAGGAAAACTCTTAAATTCACCGGAAACGTTCAGAGCATAATTGTGTAGATTGTATTGTAAATTTCCTCGCATCAGACTTCACATTGCGTGACCCCGAGAAACTTTTAGCATCGGCTCTTAAGTTCTTTTCAATTAAAAGTAGGGATCAGTTATCATGACAAACAAGACTGAATCTTGAAATATTCTTCCCTCAGGGAGAGAAAAGAAAAAATAAACTAGCCGAACGTGATGGCTCAAGAAGGCTTGGTATGCATAAAAAATTTAAAGGTTTAATCAAGTCTACAACTACTCGTTTTCACTATTACGCTTCGAGATATTGGATAGGGTTACAAAAATGCAATGTTCTAGGGGATAGGAAGGAAGCACTTCTCCAAATTTTAGGGCTCTTTGTTTCCCAAACTTAAGATGTGCATCGAAAGGTTTTGCGTAAATTTACAGAGGCCATTATGGAGCCGCCATGTTCATTGGTATCTGGTCCACCATCATGGCGGCCGGAAAACTGTGCGAAACATCTGGAACTTACTTTGGGTATCTAGCCCACTGATTACCTAAACTAGACTAACAAACATGTACAAACACTTTATCAAACACTTATTTTCTTAATAAGGCTTAAAATCACCAGATAAGTCTGTATTTTTTTGACAAACGCGGTCGGAGCTGTATGTCACGCAACAACCATAACTTCAAACTGCGGTGGTTTCCAAACCAAGCACACTATTGAGCTGAAAATTTGAAAACAGATACGAACTTAGACCACCTCGTGCCTGATGAGGATAAGAATTTTCGTGGCCATTTATCTTTAGGTTTTCGAATTTGAATATATCGCGCGAAAATTAGCAATATTATTTTCACATTGAGTAGCTTTTATCATAGATCACTCCAGAAAATGATATCATTCTCTTCAGTCTACGTTTGGGTGACTGACTCATGTAAACATGATTATACCAACTTTCTCGTCACAAAGAGCACGTGACATGCTTTAACTTTTTGACACTGTGCACGCTTGGACATTTGTGTACAAAACCAGTGATGGAGTGGGATACATTTTAAAAGTTCTCGTGAGATTTAGGTTTCAGCGGACCTTCGTCGTAAGCCTGAATATCAAAGAGTTAATGCTTTTGTAATGGTAAAAGAGTCAATTACTGTCCGAATCGCAGTTTTACTCCTGACTGAATGCTAGCCAAAGGTTGAGCAATCATGAACGGGGTTTTTCTACCTTTTATTCCGCAGAACTCAGTACAACGAAACCTTAGCTTGCATCATCATGTCAAACAAGATTTGTGGCAGAGTCAAGGATTCCAGCGACTTATCCAATCAGACGTTGGATGATTTGTTACGTGCAGGCATCAAAGAGGAACAAATGTGTAATGAGGCCTTGCTGGGTGGATTTATCATTCCCATGGATCAGCACAGTCTGGATAAGCATTGCTCAAATGTGTTTGTCAACAACACAGAGGCGTGTTTAAAAACTTATCATGATAAATTCATGGCTGACAGATCAGACGCTACTCTTTGCGAGTAAGTTTAAGTTTCACCGGATTCAATTGTTTTTTAGCAACAAATGTCAAATGCAATTGTGTCTCGTTCATCGAAAAGACCGGTCATTATTTATCATACTCACCTGGGGGTGGGGGTGGAGGTCTGAGGATTTTGTTTGTGTCACAATAAAATTACCTGATTTCCCCCCTGAGGTTCTGTAGTATTGTAAAAATCCCTCCTTATTGACAGCCAAATTTCTAAGCCTCCCCCCTTATTCTCTGTTAGCGACGACTGATCCCCTTCCGTTCCTCCCTAAAAAGCATGTTATCGCCCAGAAATCAATCGACCCTTCCCCCACTCCCTTCGCAGTAAAAATTGAACGGTACCCTAGTAAAAGAGAGAAGAGCCCAAACGGATTGACCAAGGTCGACGATGGACCAATTTTCTTGTCAGATCTTGTGGGTATACAATTTCTCCTAGCGAGTTTCTTCTGGGAGAAAGGTGATTATTGCTTCCCGGTTTTTTTTGTTAAGTGCTTTAACATCTGTGCAAGTTTCAGCATTTGTTTATTTTGTATGTTTTCTTTTCCTGATTTCAACAGGGAACATGCCAAAGCAAAAAAGTGTTGGATGAAGGCCATAGAGTCTGACTGCAAATATCCTTCAGATTTCTTCGAGGCGATTAGATTTGATTTGGTCGAATACAATCCTTTCTGCGCCAACAATCGGCATCCTGGGGCGACCGGAAGTGATCAGTGCCTTGGCGTGAGGGACATAAAAAATCCCTTCAATAGAATTCGAAAGAACGACTTCAATGCAACCGCTGGTGTAAAGATTAATGCATTGCTAGCTTTGTTCCCTCCTCTTGTGTCAGTTTTTTTTTTTTTTTTCATTCGTAAAGTTTAATTAAGAGAAGCATAAATCAAATAAACACTATCGCGTGATCAGATTTTTATGAGTTTATCCGGGGTTTACCCCTTTCTCTCATCCGTAACCACATTAGCAGGACACAGCGATATTGCTCTCTGATTGGTTAAGAAAATTCACGTCACCCTAATAACCGCGGGATCACAAGCAAAATTGAAACCTATGGCAGTTTGGTCATCTGCGTTCATTACTTTTTCGTGTCTGTTATGAATTCGAGTCAGCGGGGTGCCCCTGTATTTATGGACTCATGGTAAATCTTAGCTCGTTCACGCGTATCCGTCTTCATTTGAAAACGCAACTTTTCTCCTCCATTTTCCGAAAAACATGCGTCCGCACGTAGCGCCTACTGGTGGAGTGTATTGAGAAATAAGTGAGTATATTATCCCAAGTAATATTCCTGTGGGAGTATACTGAAAGATGTTAATACGTTACCATCAAATATCCCAGATCAGTTAAGCAGTCTCGGGAACATGGCTAGTTTAGAATCGTCTATTTATGCTATAACTAGACATGCGCGAAATCTCCACCCGTCTCCGGTCCTACGTGAACACTGGTGCAATACAATAGTTTACACTGAAGTGCTTTAAGCCGAGAAACTTTAGTCCGTAAACGTTACAATGTCAGAACGTGGCTGATTGACACCTCCCAATCTTTAAACGTGATTGATACGAACGTGATACCCTTTATGAAAACTCAATCTGTTGTGTACTCAATTAGAGACACTCTCCCTTTGATTTCCTTATTTATTTATGTCTTTATCCAACGATTAACCACCAATAATCTGGCATACAATCATACTATCTCATTAAAAAACCTATTAGTCAATTCCAGTCGTATCACTCCTCACTCTAGAACCAATCCCCAGGGCCAGCCCCAGGTGCATTAGACAAAAAAGAAGCAAAATTCTTGGGTTGGGGAAAAATGAGTCGGTTAAACACTTCGGGTTGGGACCAAAACAAGAAGGCAAATGCACCATTACCGGGTTCTTTCAGAAGCTCATGACCTTTAAAAAGTCACAAAGAAAAAGTGCCTCTAATCATAACTTTAGACGCCCTGACCCATGGGACTTGGCCCAGGTTTTGTCAACACCCCTTTGCTGACATGCCAGATTGCGTTAAACTTCTCAGAAACGTTACATCCATATGGCAGTGGCTTTTGTTTTATTCTTTTGTTCATACCCAATACATCAGTGTACGTGCATCTTCGATAAACTCGTTACAATCCATGTCACGCGCAATTCCGTGCAATTAGGTTTAAAACCAAACTTACACATTTTGGCCTCCTCTCTAATGAAAATAGGTTAGCTATTTTTTTATTTTCTCTAAATAATGTACTTCTGGTGGCAAAAAAAGTACATCACGTATCTTTTCTTCCTGATGCTGCTGAACGAATGATCGACATAGGTTTTTTTATTAGCTGCTGCCAATCGCCGCTTGACAGCCAAGAGGAGTGGCTTGTTACGCGTACTGTGAATAAACAAAGATATGAATAACAGATAACAATTTGATTGGCTGTTGGTATAATAGTCTCAATATGCTGACGACATGTCTATTTCTGACCGGAAAGTATAAAAAACATTCCAGCTTGAAAGAAGCCATATTTCGTGTACTACTTGTTTAGGATCATGGCAAGAGGTTTCTTCTTTCTGGTTCTCGTTGCTGTGTTTGTCTTGTTCGGAGACGGAAACAGTTCCAACAAACTGTCTCCGTCAGCGTGTCACTGCCGTCCAGTCATAAACGTGGCTGTGGATGGCAGCCAGTGCGATGTGTGCTCAGAAAACAAAAAGCTGCAACAAGAAATGAGCGGTTTGAAGGAAGAACTGGAAACTGTGAAAAATCGCATCAGTCAGATTCAGTCGGGTGAGTGAGAGTTTCACAAAACGTCTGCATTTGCAAATTTAGCTTCTAGGAACAGTCAAGTCAAGCATTCTGTTATTTAGTTGCGGTTTTCTTATTACCGTTTTTAACTGCAGCTGTAGGCTTGCATTACACGTTTACACGTTTATTTAACAATAACAATAACAATAAATCCTTATTCCCCTGGCTCCGCAAATAGCAGTGTTAGGATAATCAGTAAAAGAAGAGGAAAATACACACAATTAAAACTACAGATGAATAAATAGATGGAAAATACGAAAACAAATTAAGTCTACGGAAACAACTATGTGGTTAACTCAAGTTGACAGCGCATTATGTTGTAAGTGAATACATAAGATAAAATAGATAAGGTAGGATGGGCGAGACAAAGGTGATAGCTACTAAGAGTATTTACTAACTTTAGGGATTATCGATTTTAAATCTTCGTAGGAGTCTTCTAATGCTAATATATTGAACAAGATCGTACGAATTTTTCTTTTAAAGATGAATTTTGGTAGTGTTCGGACCTTAGTTCATTGTTTGGTATTGTTCGGAGCTTAGTTCATTGCTTCAAACTGAACGCTGCAAAATCTGGTCTGAGCGACTGAGTACAAAGTGAGACGAAGCGAGCTCTCAGCTGTTTCTTTCCATTTCTAAGCTATAGTGGACATCTATTTACGATTATGTTCTTAAAACGGAGTATCGTGTAAGGGGACCACGATAATATGCGTCAGGGGTCGGTTGGGATTTCTTGAGTTTTTTCTACCAAGCAGAAATACGTCAAAGCGATGACAGTGTCAGGGGAAGTTCAGACGCTTTCCGCCATTTTCCGTAATTTTAGCACACGATGTAATTTGAATACAGAAATGACCTCATTTGATAAACGTACAGCACCTAGATGGTGTGAAGAAACATCGTAACCTTATCTGTCATGTAGTACATGTTTCTTTTAATCTTTCTTAATATTTAACGCAAGTAGAATAAGGCTAATTTAAAACAGAAATGGACTTCATTCTAAAAGAAGTGCATCAAGGTCAGAAGGGAGCAGGAGCACTGAAAAGGAGGGGGGTGGACGGGGGAGTGGAATTGTATGAAGAATATTCCCCCTTCCCATGGCCACCCTTCAATGTGTTATGCAGTTTGCATTTGTTTGGATTTTGTCTCAAAGACTAAAGGCTATGTTCCAAGATTTCCTAAGCAAAATTCTGTATAACGGAAAATGGTTGTTCGACAAAACACGAGGTCAGGTCAGATGTTCAAAATCGTAAGCTGTTTTAGGTAATTAATCGATACTCGTGTTTCATTTGCCTCAATAGGTTTGAATAACAGTTCATATGACCTCTATTTCACAAAACCTGTAACAAGTGACTACGTCATCCACCACGGCCTCCAGATAACAAATGTTTTCACGATCTGCTTCCGAGTACGTACGACCGATAAGACTGGTAACGATCGAACGGTCGTGAGTTACAGTTTATCCGGGAATCACAATGAACTTACTATCAACAAGGTGCAGGAACTTCAACTATTCATCAACGAGGATATGGTGTAAGAAAAGTCGTTCAATGATATCTAGTATTTTTATCTCGTAAACGATCTTCTTTTCTCATTGTGGACGCGTTTCGCGGTCTCTAGACAAGGGAACGAAGCTTGGGTACGACATTGGTAGACAATTAATTTGCTTCAAGGACAGATGCCTTATAATTATCACATTCGTTATTCAAATTTAGCGCCATGAAAAGAGCTACAGAAAGTCCTTGCGACAAAGTCAATAAAGGATTATGTGTGTATGCATGCATGCATGCATGCATGTATGTATGTATGCATGTATGTATGTATGCATGTATGTATGTATGTATGCGTGGTTGAATCTTTGTAAGTGTGTTGGAGTTCGAAAAAAAAAGGTCATGTCATGCGAGAAAGGGGTCATTTGTTTTTTGCCCAGTAATTAATTGGAATAACGAATGCGCTTTGCTTTAGCAAATATGAACAACAACTGGTGCTCAAGGTATGCTTGAGGATAAACAAGTGTAATTTCTTTTGCACATCTCACTTATTGCGTTGTGTTAGGAGACCACTGAGTTTTGGGAAAGTAAAGGCCTGAGTTGAATATTGGGTTGTTCCCCTCGATTATACCTGGCGAAGACTTTCGAATCGGACGGGTTATGAATCCATTGTCTGAACTGGAGTTTATGAAGCTTAAAGGCGAAAGTAGTCATAATTAAGTCAGTTACAGTAAAAACATTCGATGTTGGCCTTATCAAGATGATAAACCCTTTTATATTTCCTTAGGCGCACTGGTGTTGTTGTAAATGATGGCGACTGGCATCACGTATGCACGACATGGGAGAACAAAGCTGGTTCATGGAAAGTCTACAAAGATGGCGCCGTGCAAGCCAGTGGATCTGGATTTAAGACTGGTTACAACATTAAGACCAACGGAATCCTTATCATTGGACAAGAGCAAGATGCATTCGGCGGTGGCTTTGACGCCAATCAAAATTACATTGGGGAACTAACAGACCTCAACATATGGAACAGAGTCGTCTCGTCAAGTGAGATTAACAAACTGTCCAAATCATGCCACGGTGGGAGAGGCAACGTGAAAGAATGGTCGGACTTCAAAGTAGGAATAAGAGGTGATGTAAGAGTTATCTCCCCATCGGCGTGTGAGGTGTAAAACTCATTTTACTTTTCAGGTACAGTTGGCAGAAAAATGAACGTCGGTAATGTTGTCGGTAATAAGTTCAAAAGGCATGATATTAAAAATAATAAATAAATCAAAAAGTGTGAACAACTTATTCAATGTACACTCCAAAGTACCTCATATATCCCCAGTGCCCTTTCCCTTCGCTTTTCTGGGAATATTGCTGGTGTATTTTTATTCGCCCTTTGCATTTTTTATTCCCCCCCCCTCCCCCCTCCTCTTCCAGTTAATGAAAATACAATTAAGCTAGCTCAGTGAAGTCTGAACTTTAAAGAGGACCTGACACTAGAAACAGGAAATGGCAGCTCTATATACAAACTGGTGATACACCAAAATGAGGCACAAGGTTAGACTTGCTGAATTTTGACCTGCCAGTGAGTAAATAACTCTTTTTAATTTATTCATATCGACTTTTCGATCGATCATTGTTGATCCAAGTCGATCCGAGTTGAGCTGTTTTTTCAAAGTAACCTTTTCCCTGAATAATGGTGGAAATCAAGACCAAGTAAAAAGCCAGTCAGTAAAAAATAAAAATTGATAAAAATAGATTAAGAATATCATGAGGTTTGAAATAAACGAGCTTAAACGCCCCGGTCCCTTGTTATTGAGAAGGAATCATTACGTAAAATGAGAAACAGATGTTTAATTGCATGTTGTAACAATAACGAACACAAGGTTTATAATTCGAGCAAGAAGTTCTAACAGCCCTTTAAATTAATTTGGTCGTCTGCGAGGGAATAACTCACGGGAAATTCCTTGAAATAAGTAATGTGTTCTGAATATGTAAGATTTTATTCTTTTACTCTATCCGAAAATATCACTTTCGTTGTTGAGTAGTAATCATTGCTATTACACCAGACAATGCAAGTCCCTTTCTTACCACCTTGCAGAACAAATATCAAACGGTTTTCCTTTATGTTTCCAAGGGCCTAAATATTTAAATTCTCTGAATATAGAAATCCAAAATGTTGACACACTTTCCCTGTTCAAGTCTAAATTGCGAACACTGACTCCTTTGTTGAATCCCCTCTTATTCCCTTATTATTTATTCATTTTTATTTTTCTGAAGCCGCTTAAGTGAATGTTTGCTTTAGTGCCTGCTTTTGTTGTCGTTGTTTTATATGTGTGTGTGTGTGTTCCTTCCTTTTTAAACTAAAATATTGTGTCCCTAAATCACGCCCAAAAACTGATAACTCACTTTTGTAAAATATGAGGAGCCTGTAGTTCCCATAAACCTCTTGGTTTCGCTGCGGGTTTCCTCGCCAAATGCTAAATCTTCAATTCTAGTACATTAATCAATGCGCGAGAAAAAAACTAATGCAGTGGGTGACCAAGGGCGCTTTCCATTCAACAAAAATCACGGGTTCAAAATGTCGGTATTTTCGCTGGCCGAATGGAACGCGTCCGACCGTATCCAAGATGGCACACTCAGAACGTATTCCTAAATTTTCGAAAACTTATCCCGGAACTTTTCCCGTTCCATTCCTGATTCGATTTCAGACCGGAAATCTCGAAAATTTTGGTCAAATGGAAAGCGCCCCAAATAACCTTTGATTAATTTTGACGTCTGATTGACTGAGCTTTGGTCGACCAATCAATATTGATTTTAACAAAGGGTGTGGCGTTATCTTTGTCAGTTTGACAGCTAGGTGAAGTGATGGCGTTATTACAGTCGTAAGGCTCGGTTCTGCCTTAATTTCAAACAAAGTTCCATTCATTCTGATCGACGTTCTAAATCCACGATGCTTTTTCTGCATTATGTCGCAATTGTGGCGGGTAAGTTGAAAGCCAGTTCATATTTGTAAACTTCAATCCTTTATTTGTTGAGGAAAAACATTGAATCAGTCCGTAACTTGAGGAAATTTGCACTTGCTGCTGGTTGTTCCAAAATATTCCCCGGGGTTCGTCGGGTCGAATCTTACTTTTTATTTTTAGAAGCTTACAGGTGAAGGGGCTCTCGTCTTTTACATAGAACGAAGCCATACACCTATTAAACCCATCTGAAAAGAGGTTTCTAAACAATTTTTGCTTCAACCAACGTCATAAAGGCAAGTGCTAAAACCCAGACGCGTTAATCTCATAAACATCTTTCATTATTGTCGCGAAAGAGCCCAAGCCGAAGAAATTTTTCCAGTGCTTACTTTGCCAATAACCCACTTTTCCTAAATTTCTTCAGCTGAATTTTGCAATTTTGTTTAATCCACTGTAAATAAGACTTCCCCGTTTTGCGAAATCACCGTTTCCCGCGAATTGCAGAGGAGTTCCTTGACCTGCCAGAATTCTTGGATTTTCATGAAAATTGGCTGGAATGTTCGTCAAATATTAACGCACCAATGTTTGTGAGGCTTTTACGACATTCGAAATATTAATCTCATGTGGTCCCGGAGTGTGAATTGCCCAACTTCAAAGTAGATTTTCTCAGGAAGCATGAAGCGTGCGCAGGATTTTTCTGGAAGGCACTTCATTTGTTGACAGTAACCTTGAGCGGTTACCCACGGGGAATAACGACTGCAGTAAGGGGCCGACCATTTAACTCTTGAGGGAGGGGGCGTGGGTGGGTGATTTTGAAAAGAAATTTATTGCAAGCGCTTGTTGGAAGAAAAAAACTGCATGCAGTCCAAATGTATTAGAAAAATAAAGAGCATTTAGAGCGAAAAAAATATCCTGCCCAGCAGATTGCTAGGAAAAAATTTCTTGATGACCAGAAATCACCCACTCCCACCCCCCAAAAAGTTAAATGACTGGCCCCTAAAGAAAGTAAGTTTCTTGTGACATTCACGAGATTGCGTTACAATTTTGAGTTCCGTCACTAAATCCATCGTGTATCGTCTGGGTCTTAGTACGTGTCCAACACTCGACCACTCGAAGGCCAACAAACGAATTAATTTTTTCAGAATTTTGTGAAGAAAGCCCTCACATATTTACACGTGTCTCTGTAAATTCAAATGTTTTTTCTGATTATTTCTATCCAGAGTGTTGAACACACCTTTATTTAATAAACCTACTCATTCTTGAATGTATTTCGTTTGCCGATTCCCTCAAAAGCTGAGGCTCCGTATTCCAAAAGAATTTCTAGTTTCCATTAGACAAGAGTGCTTGCAAAGATTTTTATTCCCTTTCTTCTGTGATTTATCAAAAAGAGTTCACGTTTCCTGAAAGAAGATGATATTACTTCTATGTCAAGAAACATCCTTTGTAAACGGCGTTACATTCATCCACAAAAGCTACCTCTTCACTCTCGGCCATTTTAGCGTGTTTATTATTAATCAACAAGGGAACATCAGATCGAGGTTACATAACTTACTGACATATCCCAAGGGCTGGACTGGTAACATCTCCCTCTGTCCCGTAGTTTTCTCTTGCGCTACCCTATCAACCAAAAAATTGATTTAAAGGATCAGACATTTCCAATTATTCTTAGACAAACGATCATGTTATTGAATTTGTAAGCGCAAGAGTTATCACAGGCGGCCCAAGCGTACTGTGTGTGATTTTGGGGTCTAAAGCTCATTAACGGCAATAACGAACATATTAAGATCGAATTTAAAGCGTATGTGTGGGCCGTAAAAAAAGGAAAAATTTTAAAAAGAAATTAAAAAAAATTTAAAAGGATAATAAAAGCGAGGAATAAAACGTGTGAAGCCTCCTTACCTTTTTTCTGTGGCCACTTTGTTGCCAACGATCGTTTTAACTTAACGCTATTTTGGCGACCTTCTTTGTAACGCGTGCGGTGTCACCAGTCAACTGTATAATAGAAAAAAAATTATAAAAAAAAAATGAAGAAAAAATAAAAAGGATAACAAAATCGAGGAATGTACCGTATGAAGTCTCCTTACTTTTCTCCGTAGCTGCTTTGTCGTTTACGGTCCTTTCAACGCTGTTTTGGCGACTTTCTTTATAACGCGTGTGGTGCTACCGGTCAACTCTCGGGGTATCAGTAAAAAAAACTGAAGTCTGGAAACTTCAACCGGTCCCGAACGCCAACCGTCGCCACTCGAAGGCCGATAAATTCCACAAAAGTCAACCGATCTCCCTTAAATTTCCACCCGCGAGAGCGCTTTATTAGCTACTACCTACCCTTTCCAGCGGCAAAAGTTTCCAAATTCCGCTGCATCGATCCGAGAGCCGCTCCGTTTTACCACCCATTCTGGCTAAATTGCTTTATAGGTACCCGTAATCCTTTTGCCCTTACTACGGGATTCAAATATCAAAGCGCGTCCGGTCGAATTACACGCACGATTCCCCAGACGGTGTTGTTTGACAATAGGGCAAACTTTACAACCTTCCCAACGATTCCCTGGAGAGTCTTTGATTTGGTCTGATGCGCTTTGATATTTGAATCCCGTAGTAAGGGCTAAAGGATTACGTGTACCTACGAAGCGATTTAGCCAGAATGGGTGGTAAAACGGAGCGGCTCTGGGATCGATGTAGCGGAATTCAGGAAACTTTTTCCGCTGGAACGGGTAGGTAATAGCTAAGCGCTCTCGCGAGTGGAAATTTAAGGAAGATCGGTCGACTTTTGTGGAATTTATCGGCCTTCGAGTGGCGACGGTTGGTGTTCGGGACCGTTTGAAGTTTCCAGCCTTTTGTTTTTTTTATACACAGTTGACCAGTAGCACCACACGCGTTACAAAAAAAGTCGCCAAAACAGCGTTAAAAGAACCGTAAACGACAAAGTAGCTACGGAAAAAAGGTAATGAGACTTCATACGATACATTCCTCACTTTTATTATCCTTTTCAATTTTTTCTTAATTTTTTTTTATAATTTTTCCTATTATACAGTTAACTGGTGACACCGCGTGCGTTACAAAGAACGTCGCCAAAGCAGCGTTAAAAGAACCGTTGGCAACAAATTAAGCGGCTACGGTAAAAAGGTAAGGAGACTTCACACGTTTTATTCCTCGCTTTTATTATCCTTTTAAATTTTTTCTTAATTCTTTTTTATAATTTTTCCTTTTTATAACGACCCACTCATACGCCTAAAATTCGATCTTAATATGTTAGTTATTAATGAACTTTATACCCCAAAATCACAACCTCATTCTCAGGGGCTTTTCCCTTAGTTGGGGGTGGGGCGCCCCACCTCCAGCTAAGGGAAAAGGCCCTGGGAACGAGGTTTCCCAAAATCACACACCGTACGCTTGGGCCGCATGCGGAGTTAGTGACCACGGTAATTACCGCATTCGGAAAAGCGCTTGAGCTATGGCACACCACTATGTTTAATGAAGCACACAATAGCTCCCAGCCGTTATCCAGACATTATTGAATCCTTTTTAAATGGCTTATTTTATAGTTATTCTAGTTTTTGTCATTTCTTTGTAAGAAATATTTCAATTGATTCATGCTGGAAATCTTAGGACTGCTAAAGCTTTATTACTAGGTTTTAAGTTTTACAATATTTCATGCATAATGTCATATGGGTTAGAATCTTGATGATGTAATGTAATGGTTTTTTTTAATAAGCTTTCGTAATGTAAAGCGCATTGGGGTTGGAAATGCGCTTACTGAGAATCTATTTTATTATTATTATCATTATTATTATCTTTGTTATGCATTTTTATTCTGTTCTTTTGCTACCATGGTTTCATCTCGTATATTCACACACTCGTGTTTTTCTCATCATTCGTCAAATGCTGTTGTCTGGTAGACTAACTGCTTAACGTTTTACAATCTTCAATCAGAGATTATTTTAAGTATTATAGAGTTGCGGTGATTGCTGCCATTTTGATTTTGTGACGCTCGTAGAGGGAAGCTCTGTATTAACTATGAACTACAAGATCCTGTTTTTCTTAGTTCCAGTCACTGTGTTTTTTAACCCCGGCGCGGCGGAAACCAGCATGGCTAACTTCACTAACTGTACACTCGATGAATACCTTTGTGACGCGCGCAAGTGCACAGCACAGTTTATCATAAACCTTCAAAATGACCCGGAAGGAAACTGTGGGTAAGTTTGTTTAATTTGATAAAAATTGGTGAAATATATAAATGACCGATTATTAAACGAAGTTTAGCCGTTGTTCAACAAAACTAGCATTCTCAGCCATCTTCAATTTAGCCGAACCTTTTACGTGAACATTTATTTTTGTGAACAGTATCAAGAGGGCCGAAAGCTAATGGTAGAAGGACATGTGTTTAATTAAATTAACCCTCTCATAGAGAGGTCCTGAGGCCCACTACTTGCGTCAGTAAACCTGCGGTTAGGGCTAGACCTCGTATATAAGTGGCCTTTTAAGTCTGGCCATGCAATCGAGTTCCGCCTTTTGTTTTAAAAAACGTCTTCTCCGATATACATCCTGGTCGTTTCTATCTCCATTGAACTCCACTGAGAGCTGTCTTTAAACTAAGTAAATTCTTGCAATTAAAGAAATCCTCCTTTCGGAAAAAAACCGAATACGAAGGTTCTATGAATTGGTATGCACAAAAGCAAATTTGCATTCTTTTGGAAAAATATTTCACTCTTATGCTTTTCGACAATGGGCAATTTTCACAGGTTATTTTGGAAAATACCAAAATACTCTTTTATATGCAGGTTTGGGTGGTACTTTACGTAAACCTGATTCTTTTAATCCTTGTTAGCGTGAACTGTACGCTTATAGTTCTCGACACGCTCCATGCTCTCTACATTTATAAACAAAACCAGTGATGGAGGAACGTTAGTTGAAATATAATTAATTCTATAAGGTCTAGATTCGGAGGTCTATTTTCCATGATTAAAAACTGGATCATTGGATAATGCAATTCAAGACGTTTTATTGGCTTAGCCATTATGGTATATGAGCCAATATACCATAATCTAATATCTGTACATTGTAACATCCAGTTTCTTCTTACAAAATCAAGCCGAGACTTTTGTCTAATATCTTGGGGGCGTTTTTGTAACAAAACAATTATTCCACTCGCGCTTTTTGGATATGACATGATTATAGCCAACTCGGCGCTACGCGCCTCGTTTGCTATCTATCATCTCATATCCAACGTGCGCTCGTGGAATAAATGTTAATGAAGACATAGACATAGGCCAGAGAATTTTGGTTGCGTCACGATAACATTACTTGATTCCTCCCACAAGTTTTATTGATATTTTTATAATTCCCCTCTCACTGCAGTTAATTGGCAGTCAGTTATCCATAGTCCCCTATTATACTCTGTTGGGGGTGACTGATTCCCCCCCTCCGTCCCAGTGGCGGATCTGGGGAAGGGTCCCGGTGGCCTGCCCCCCCCCCGATTATTTTGGGTAAAAAGATAAACGCAGAGGGAAGAAAAGACGGTAGGTGTGCACACACTCAAAAAACCGCCCCCCCAGCTCAAGGTCTGGATCTACCACTGGCTCCCCCTGAAAACCATGTGTTCTCTCCCTCCAAAAATTAAAAAAAACTTTCACCCACCCCTGTACCAAGGCAATAAATAATGACTGAAAGTTGGCTAACGTTTGCACAATGCTCAATGAAATGCTTCGTCTATTTCATTACCGTAGAGTCCAATACAACAAAACCTTGGACTGTGTCATCATGTCAAACAAGCTATGTGGACGGGTTTTTCCGAGCGACCCACTCAACAAGACAATAGATGATTGGTTACGAGCGGGCATCAAAGAGGAACAGATGTGTAACGAGGCCTTTCTGGGTGAATTTCTCGTTCCCAGGGAGCTGCGAGGTGACACATTTTGCTCAAATGCGTTCGTCAACTACACAGCAGCATGTTTAATAACTTTCTATGAGAAATTTCTGGCCGACAAATCAGACCCGACTCTTTGCGAGTAAGTGATGGGGGGAGGTCGGAATATTTTAGTTCGCTCAGACGATGGGCTAACGCTCGAAACGTCAGCTTTTGTAATCGTTACCGTGGCCAATTTAGCATTTCAACTTTGTTGATACATCCAATATATTTTAGTTGCGTCACGAAAAAAAATCACCTGATCCCTCCTAGGCACTGTAGTATTTTCGTGATACCCCTCATTGGATGCGTTCATTAACTGTTTATTAAAGAAAAACTGCGCACAGAAAGATTGACAACGGTCGAGGATGGTCCAATGTTTTTAGTCAAATATTGTGGTTAGACATTTTCAGAGAGGGAAAGAAGTTTGCCCTTATAAAATCAAATCTTCGTGAAGATTTAGGGACGATTCTTTAATCAAAGAGGAGAGCGCTCTATATCTGGGTAGGACCGGGGAAACGGAATATTTTTGTTGATTTTGGTCGTGTCAGGATAAAATCCACCTGATTCCCCCATAAGGCTCTGAAATATCCTTATGATCCCTTCCCTCTCCCCTGTGAATAGCAGACAATTAGCAGTCCATTTTCTACGGCCCCCCTTTATACTTTGTTGGTGAGGACTGATCCCCCCTCAGTCCCCCCCCCTGATAACCACCTCATGTGATCACACCTAAAATCGCCCCTCTCCTACCCCGGCAATAAATATTAACTGTTCCCTTGTATGTTGATTTTCCTGATTTCACCAGGGAACATGCCAAAGCAAAAAAGTGCTGGATGAAGGCCATTACGTCTGAGTGCAAATATCCTTCGGATTTCTCTGAGGCGATTAAATTTGAGTTAGGTGACTACAATCCTTTCTGCGCCAACAACCGGGATCCTGGGGCGACCGGAAATGATCGGTGACATGGCGTGAGGGACATAAAAAATCCTTTCAATAGAAAAGACGTCGTAAGTGCAACCACTGGCATAAAAGTGAATGCATCGCTGGCTCTGCTTCTTCCTATTGTCTCATTTTTCTTCGTATTAAAGGTTTAAAGAGTCATGAATTAAAGAAACAATCTCAGGTGATCTCCACATTTTTATGACTATCTTGTCTTGGTAATTTGATCACTTACGCTTTTTTATTGTTCTTCTCTCCAGCTACTGTATTTCCAAGAATAAGTGCCCACGCTCTTATACTGCCCAGAATAAGCGACCAACCCCCAGGCCATGTTGACAAACAAGCACCCCCTCCTCGAATAAGCGCTCCCCCCTACTCCTTCCTAACAGTCTTTTTTGAAGCGTAGAGATACAAGACAAATCTGTTTCTATTGTCACCTTGTTCATAAATTTTTAGCCTTAATTACGGTGGAATCAGTACAGGAGACAGGCACCCCCCCTCCTCCCTCGATTAAGCGCCCCCCTTACAATAAGTGCCCCCTCTATTTAGCTGAAATTTTAAGCGCCGGAATATATTAATTGTTTTTTTGCACTGCGATCGTCTTCAATTTTGCGCCACAAAATAAATTGCACCAAAATGCTTATTACTTGTACAACACAAGTATTTTTTTTTTTGTTTGATAACAAAGCAATTATGGCTAAGTTTGTCTTACTGTGTGTAAGTAGTAGGAACCTTAACGCATGTTGAAGACCTAAATTTAACAACAGTCCTAAATATAATAAAGTCCTAAATGTAATAAAGTCCTACATATAATAACATTTAGTCCTAAACGTAATAAGCCTCCAATCCCAATGCATTAAGAATATTAAGAATATTTAACAATTATTCGCCAAAGGCGAGGTGTATAGACCACTTTCATAAATGGCTGCCGGATTAATATTCTTTTGTTTAAATTTAAATTAGCCTTTCTGGCCTCGTTCTTCAGTACAAAATTCAAAAGAATACATTATCTCAAGTGAGGCCAGAAAGGCTAATTTAAATTTAAGGTGGTACGATACAAAAAAAAATGCAATTTTTGTTGAAAATGAGTCTATTTTTTTTCCATTCGATTTCACTTCTAAAGGCTTTTGTTTAATAGCCCCAAATGTCTTTTTGTGAATAATTTGTCAGGAAATAGTAATAAAATGCAATTTCTAAGGCACTGTTGTTCCGTTGCCATGGAAACGCATTTTTAAATGCGTCCTTTTAGGGCCTAAAAGTGCGATTTCCTCCCAGATCAAAGCAAGCTGATTGCGTCTTGAGTAAGCTATTGGGAGACTGGGGCCCAACAATGACTTTCAGCCTCGTTTTGATATATTTCGGTGAACAGCCGTTATTATCAATCATTCAGTTGTGAATTTTCGCAAGTGAGAGAGCTTCAATCATCAAAATGCCGAAATTTTCGTCTCAGAGACGCAAGAAGCGCAAATTTTATGGAAATCGCTTTTCAAATAGTCCAAGAATTAACGAAGAAGAGTCGATTGTTGTCGAAAGCGCTTCGAGTGGGATACGTGAATCCACAGACGGCATTTCACATGATCAGAGCGAAGCGAAGGAATCTTCGGCTTCGTATCGAAAGCTTCAATCAACTTCCCAAGAAGACAAACCCAAGCCTAAGCTGATCAAGGTAGATAAAGAGGAAACCAGTCCATCCATTACAGGGTTCAGGTTCTGTGATATGGAGGTGCTATCGTCCGTTTTTTCTTTGCTACGTTGTGGCGAATGCGGCGATTTCAGTCTTTTGTTTATGGAAGATAATTTGAAACGGAAGGGATGTGCGTCAACTTTGCGTTTGCTGTGCGAGCAGTGTGGATGGAAACATTCATTTTGCACATCAAAAAAGCAAGGAAAGAGTTTTGAAGTAAATCGGCGAATCGTTTATGGTATGAGAACTCTTGGAAAGGGTTATGCTGGTGCAAGGAAATTCTGCACAATTATGAACATGCCTCCACCTCCAAATGAGAAAGCTTTCCTCAGCAACTCGCGCGTAATCGGCCGTCACATGAAAGCGATTGCAAAGGAAACAATGAAAAAGGCAGGAGAAGAAGTTTTATCTCTCAAGAAGGATGTAAATTCTTCTGAAGGTCTACCTGTGAACTGTGGTGTTTCTTGTGACGGAACATGGCAAAAGAGAGGCTACTCGTCACGCAATGGTTGTGTGACTGTCATATCTATGGACACAGGAAAGGTTCTTGATGTGGAGGCCCTAAGCCAAGGATGCAAACAGTGTGAGCGGCATGAACAAATGGACAAGAATTCTCTCGAATATCAGATGTGGAGAGCTGATCACACCACTTGCAAGTCAAATTTCCAGGGATCAGCACCTGCTATGGAACCAGAGGGTGCAGAGCGCATATTTCAAAGGTCTGTTGAGCTGCACAATCTCAGGTACACTGAATTTTATGGGGATGGGGACAGCAAGAGTTTTTCCAGGATAAAGAATATTTATCAAGATGCTGGAATTTTAGTGGAAAAGAAAGAATGCATTGGTCATGTGCAGAAGAGGGTTGGAACTGCACTTCGCAAATTAAAACGTGACAATCCAGGCCTTGGAGGCAGAGGGAAACTCACAGATAGTCTAATTGATAAACTGCAGAACTATTATGGCATTGCCATAAGGTGCAATGTTGGAAATTTGGCTGGAATGAAGAAAGCTATCCATGCTAGCCTCATGCATTGTGCCTCAAGTGAGGCACGCCCACTTCATGACCACTGCCCAACAGGTAGTGCAAGTTGGTGCAAGTATCAAAAGGACAAAGCCAACCATACGAATCTCTTTAAGCATGGACCTGGCCTTCCTTTACCTGTTATTGCCAAGCTAAAGCCTGAATATATTCGACTTAGTGAGAACAACTTATTGCAGAAGTGCTTACATGGCAAGACACAAAATCAAAATGAGTCTTTGAATGGCATGGTATGGCAAAGGATTCCAAAAGAAATTTATGTTGGAAGGGAGACATTAGAATTAGGACTTTATGATGCTGTTTCTTATTTTAATATTGGTTCAATGAGTATTATTAAGCTTTTCCAAGCCCTTGGTATTCCTTCTGGCAAATATACCGAGGAGGGTTGCAGACTCCAAGACCAGCTTAGAGTTAATATTGCGCAACATAAAAGCAAAGCTACTACCAAGAAGCGACGCAAAGTGATTAGGGGCCTTAAAAAACGAAAAGATGACCATAATAAGCAAACTGAAGGAGTCAGCTATGGCCCTGGTCAGTTTTGAACAATTCAATTCATGGAAACTGTGTTCAAGTCTTGAAAAAATCAGTTTAAAAACTTTAAACCAGTTTTCTCTCAATTTCGAATTTTATGAAACTACCGACACGCTAGCAAAGATAACTTTCCAGCGTTTTATTCAATTCTTCTCATTTTTGGAGTGAGAGATCTCAGTATATTTTTGCATGCAATGAACTAGAAACATACACTTAGGTGCATCTTTTGTTGTTAAATGACCAAAATGAGATTGCTCATCTTATCAATTCCTGAAAGTTGTTGTGTTTTCTTTAATATTTTCCATTCTATATGACTGAGAGGTGTTTCTGTAGTTCATTGCATGCAGGTGCATGTAAAGATCATTGTCTAAAAATTTTGTGAATTTTTAATCTAATGTTAAAGAGTTATGACTGTTCTTGTTTGGTTGCCCACCGGGGGGCATCATTTGCTAATTCTCAGCAGCAATAATAAAATATCAAGTCAAAAACTGCAAAAATACAGTTGTCTCCATGTGTCAATTTAGGTGATATA